CCCTCCAAACTGAGGGGTGGAGAACAAAGGAAAAGTATTAGTATAGCAGCGGCAAAAGGTGGGGCCAGAAAAAGATGTCATGGAGATTAAGGTGGGTGGATTCCACATGGCCGACTGCACAGTTCAAGTCTTAGAACTGGTGTGGACTGTAAAACACGTTGGGGACATGTGTGTACCCAAAATTCTGAGAGGAGACTAGAGAAGAGATTGTGTGTGGCCATCTCCTGGAGAGGTGGGGGGAGTGCTTTCTCAGCACCCGCCTCTGGCAAGAGCCTGAGCCCTACAGAAAAATTAAAAGAAAAGAAAAAAAGCAGCAGCCAAAATACTGAGAAGAAAGAACTTCACTACAAACAAGATATAGCCTGAGAGGTTAACTTCACAATTTGTGGACTGTTTTTTTTTTTTTCCTTTTTAAAAAAGATTTATTTTATTTATTTATTATTACAATTTTTAATTTGCTATAAGGCACTCACTAGAGAAAGAGAAAGAGGGAAAATGAGAAAGCAAGGCATCAGGTCTGGGTTTTGAACTGATGAGTCATGTGAATCACCCATGTGAGAGTCCAGTGCCTTCACCACACCACCTCTTGGGCCCCTGACTACAATGCTTTTTTTAAAAAGAATCTCCTTAAACTATCAAGGCCTCAGTTAAGACAGATATTTAAGTGCCATCATTTTTTTTTTTATTATCATCACAATCTTCTTTATATTACATATAAAAAATATGGAACGCTTCAAGAATTTGTGTGTCATCCTTGCGCAGGGGCCATGCTAATCTTCTCTGTATCGTTCCAATTTTAGTATATGTGCTGTCGAAGCGAGCACCCATCATTGTTTTATAACACTATCTAAGTGAATCTGGATGCTCATGTGATTAGCTACAGTGGAATCAATGATATGAAAATGAAGTAACAAAATCTTATGTTCACCCCTCTTCCCAATACTGGACTATTTTCCAAAGTTCGATTGAGGCCACAGAATCCAGTTAACTGAACAACAATGCCCTTCTCTCAGAAATAGCAATTAACTTTACTTCCCAGATTACTAAATCTTATTTATACTTCCTCCATTAGATGACAAAGGAACTGTGATACTTAAGAACCAACATGGAAAACTGCACTGTACTTAAAGCACTGAAGACAGACATGATAAAATTGGTTTTAAAGAACCAAGTCTCAACCTAACGCCCCACTTTTAACATCAATTAGACAACACACATTTCAGAAGCCTGTCACTTGAGACAGCCTCAGTGGAGCTCTTTCTGTTTTTGGAGGGGGAGAGGTTTTTGCTATAGCGCATGCTCGCCAGAAAGACAGAGAGAAAGAGAGAGAAAGTGAGACATCACTCCCCAGGGGGTTTGGCCACACTACAATCCCTTCTCCACTATCCACATGGGATCTTAGACATGGATGCACACGCGCCAGGCATGAGTTTAAGCCATTGGGTCTGGGACTCGAACTGCAATTGACTACATGGGATCCCAGCGACATAGCCATTATGCAAACTGCTGGTCCCTGCAGCTCTTTTTCAACACTGCCATTCTATTAATACTCACCCTTGGGTTGGTTGGTGCAACACAACAGGCAAGAAAGACCAGTCTATAAGAAAGGTCTCTAACACCAAGGGCCCGGAGTCCTCTAATGCCTTCTGTCTCATAGCCATCGACACCACTGACACGGGAATTAGTTTCTGCACGTGCTCCTGAAAGATTGAATGATAATGTGTTTTAGAGTGCAAATGTTAAGGGTGCTGAGAACCAAAATTATTCAAATAAATGAAAACTATAAATCCAAAGATTTCATATAACCTCGAAAATTTTCAGACCAGTACCCTTTATAACAAAGTCTATTTGTTTTTTATGCTCAACATACTTTCTTATTCATCCTCTGATAGGTAGCCAAAAACCGAAGATAAGAAAAAGATGAGGAGTTCTCAAGGAACTAAGAATTTGTTAAATTTGAGTCACAGATTACTAACCTGGTGTGCTAAGCTTGGAAACATCAGGTACAACAATCAGTGTCCCTGTAAAGTCACACTTGTCACCAGCTTGAGCTGACTCCACAGCTTCAGCCCGCAAAATTACTTCTAAACTTCGAGGGATACTCCCTCGAGGAAGCTCAGCTTGAGTTTCCTGAATACGAACCTGTAACAAAGACAAACAACTGAGAATGAGAAGGGATTCTGTTCATATGCTGTTCATCTACATTAAGTGCCACGAATGCGGACATTCTAAACTTCATCTACAATTTGGTTCCTGTTTCTATCATGAAAATCCTCACTGCTTCCATCCTAGCCTGTCCTTTTACTCATTCCTTCATCCTTCTTACCCACCAACTCGGTCTTCTTTGAGGCTTTTTTTCCTTAAGTTTTTTTGCAATAGGGTACACGAACTCATCAGAGTGAGTGAGTCACAGAGGGAAGGCAAGAAACCACCACCACCCCCCAGGAGGGATGGCCACGCCACTATCCTTTCTCCTCTACTCTCCTTTTGGGATTTTGGGCACATACACCTACATGCTTGGTATGATTCTCAAGCCACAGGTCCAGGACTCAAACTGCGGTTGGCGATTGGCAGTCCAACCCCTTAATCACCATGTCACTTGCTGGCTCCTCTAAGTCTTTTTAAACTCCATTTCATAATAACAATAATCATAGTTTTATTTTTTTGACAAATAGAGAATGTCACAGTCTGAAGGAACTACCAACCTAAGTTACTAAAGGTAAAAACATTTATATACTGACAACTGAAATTTATTACTAAAAGTTCTGGGCTTAAATCTATAGTTGCTTTTTTCATTTATGATAGAGAGCGTATGTGCATGAGAGAGAGTGCTCCCAACTGGGTCCTGTCACACTGGGACCCATTTCCTAAGATCTCAAGTACCTCAGGATCTTGGGTACAGAAGTGCCTGGCATGATCTCAGTCAGCCTGCAAACCCTAGGTCAGCCATTTGTGCCCTCCCACATTACATTCCAGGACACCGGTCTGTGCTACCTAAGCAGGCCTGTAAGAGTCACTTTGGATGATGCTCAACTTACATAAAAATTTAGTTTAACATGGTATAAATAAGCTATTTGAAGGGCCTAGAAGTGAGTTATCAGCACAGAATGAACCTGATCTAAATAGAAGTAAAAATAAAAAATACCTTTTGAAAATCAACAAATCTTGATTTATTTGTATCGAGCAAGAATCTTCTCCTGTTGGCACAAACTGGATTTCGGCAGATGTTTGGCTGTGTATATTTGAACTGCTGTTCTACATCCTTGATCACTGTCTGACAGTCCAGACACAGGAAAGTTCCACTGACAAGCTCTGGGTGAACTGGGTGAGTCCGCACCACCTGCCCACTGATGCGCGTGAGCAAACCAATTCTGGATGAGGTGAGTTCTCGAATCCTATTTAAAGACGAATGTCCCATCGGTAAATATTTATTTCACAACCAAGCAATCTTTCTGTCTTATAAAGTATCTGACAACTTATGCCTAAAATAAAAAAATCAATAGACATGGTATTTCTTGGACACTTCACAAGAACTATTTATTTAACACGCCCATTCCTAAATTACATGATATGTGTGCATCTGGGTAGCTCTGGCAGTAGATCCTTGGGGAAAAAAACCTGAGAGCTAAATTATACAATGTACACATATTTACAATAAAACTTTAATGAATAAATATGAAAACTAAAGGACATGGGGACCAGCAGGTGGCATCATGGTTAAGTGCCAGACACTCCCACATGGCCAACCACGGTTCAAGTCCTGGACCTGGTGGCTTGCTTTCTTACTTTCTCTCTCTCTCTGTCTCACTCTGGTCAAATTAAAAATTAAATGAATGAATAAATAAAATAAAAAGCAACCCATAACTAAAGAACATAAAAGAAATGAAAACTAATTATAAAGCAGGAGGATTCTATTTTCGTTTTATGTGCAAATAACGTGATAATCTACAATTTTTAAAAAAGCGTGTTCTATTCCTATGGTAACATTATCATGGCAACAAATCTTACACTCTGAAGTTCAGAAAGATTTCCTTCACTTTACAATCTCATTTTACATAAAAATCTTGTTAATTTTACAAAGTGTGTTTCAATGGTATAAGTTTTCAAAATATAGTTTCAATTTCTTCTGTAACATTATTTCTCCAAGATAACTGCTAAAGGGGTGTCTGAAAGTTATAAATGTAAGCTGATGAAAACTGTCTAATATTCATGAATTAGTGTGACTGTTGTCAGTTTTCATATTTTCTCATCACTAATGTTTCCCCAAAACTTCCCTCTAAGTTGCCCTAAAATGTGACAATCCTAAGAATGCACTTTGCTTCACTTCCCAACTCATCTCAAAAAAATAATGTTTCCCCAAAACTAAACTTTCTGGGTAACTGGGTTTAACTATTGAAAAAGCCAACTTTCTATAAAATGCATATGTAAAATCCTACTTTTCCTACTATTACATAGCATAAATTTCTAATCACTTTTTATAATTCTTATTGCTCTCAATCATGAAAAAATAATTGTACAGCAACAAATCTACATTTTGCATGATTTACAGAGAAAACCTAAGCCAGAATATTTTATAGATGAAAAAGACTGAGGCCCAGCAAGGTAAAAGTGATTTGTGTGATGTTACTCAGACAGCTAAGAGCAGATGGAGACAATCTCCCAAGTTTCTTGACTGCCACCTAAGTGGTACAGGTTGAGCATCCCTCACCAAAAATCCAGTATGTTCCAAAATCTGAAACTGAGCACTGATGTGATACCACAAGCAGAAAATTCCACACATAACCTCATGTGACATGTTGCAGTGAAAAACACTGCAATATAAAAATATTGCATAACATTACCTTCCAGTATGTGTATAAGGTATATATTAAAGCATAAATTTAATATTTAGACTTGGGTCCCCTTCCCAAGGTTCTCATTATTTACATGCGGACATTGCAAAATCCAAACATTGCTGGTCCCAAGTATTTTGAATAAGATACCCAACCTGTACCTATACTACCAGGTAAATTTCTTTCCTTCCAAAGAAAGTTTTCTTACTTGTGTCTGGTTGGCAGGTCTTGGAATGCAACATAAAAATCCTTAGCAAGGGGGATCTCTTTACGGTCTTTGACGAAGGTTTTCAAGGCCCGACACAGGTAAGGGTAAACTCTGAAAAACAGACAAAAAAAATTGGCAATTGATATCTTAGGAGGCCAACAAAGCTTTAGAACTTAAGGAAGGAGGGTAATTTTACTATCTAGTCTGGGTTCAGAAGACTCTTTCAATCCTCACCTATCCCACCATAAATAAAAACATCAAAGATACAATGTTGTACTTGAGTATCTGCTACCTTTAAATTACCCACTGTAATTTATCCACTCTAGGCCTCTCCAGACCTCTGTCTAAGGTGACTCCACTGAACAATCATCTTGTCACCATTATGCTCAACACTATGCGCTTCCTCTGGCTGTTTACAAATGAATTAAAGCAGCCTTCTATTTGGTGTCAAGTTCTAGTATATATATGTATTTTTTAGTTTTAGTCCTGATGATAAGAAATAAACAAGAGGGCCAGCCTGTGGCCTCGTGGTTAATTAAGGAAGCTAGATCCTATAGCTATTCATGTGGTTTGAATCCTGGCCCTGGTGGCTTAAAAAACAGGCTGGGTGTGTGCATTACGCACAGAATAGGGATGGCATGAACGAGGGATGAAGGAATGGAGGAGAAGAGACTACCAGTCACCATGAGTCCCCCCTTCTGAACACATGCATCCTCTGGCGAAGACAGGGAGAGGAGAGGAGAAGAGGAAGGGAAGAAGGTAGGAAGAGAAAAAGAGAGAAGGAAAGAAAGGAAGAGAGGGAAGGAGGAAGGGCGAGATAGAGAAAAGGAAAGAAAGGAAGGGAAGAAAGGAGGAATGAGGATGTATATTAATCTGACAGCAAATTGGCAAAAATGCTCTATTTGATTGAATAGTTGACTTGTGCATGTCTTTTGAGCCAAGTTCCTATACTTGCTGCAGCTTGGATCATTTAAGCAGTGGGATCTAGAAATTCTCTGAAAAAAGAACTTTCAGGAGAGAGAAATGCAGCATAGCTTGTTCATGAGGTAAAGCATAGTTGTTTCTATCACCAGGCCTGATATTCTACAATCCTCACTGGTATCAAGTTTCTTTCTACAAGTTTCAAGAGTAAATTCTGGGGCTGGCAGGTGGTGAGGTGGTTAAGGCACTGGACTCCCACATAGCTGACCACAGTTGGAGTCCCAGACCTGGTGTCTTGCTTTCCCATTTCCTCTGTATTAAATAATGATAATAATGATAATTAATAAGATTAAGTAATGCTAGGGAAAAAAAACAATAAATTCTGCTTATCCCACTAGCCATTTCTTGCTTTGTTCATGAGAGAGTGCTTATGTGCACATGTGTGTGAGAGGGGCACCTTCCACGAGGTCTGGTAACACCACGATCCCCTTCTAGTCTGTTGGAACTGAGGCATTAATGTGCATGTCTGATGTGTTTTAGGACAACAGGCTGGGGATTCAAACAGCATTTGCCATGTCTTATCTGGCTTTTCAAGAGCAGCATACTACTGCTGTGCGGTGGAGCAGGCCCCAACCTCCAATCATTCTTTTTTTTTTTTTGGAAAAGGTTTTTGCCATAGAGTGTATACAATTGCTAGAAAGAGACAGAGAACAGAGACAGAAGGAAAGTGAGAACTCACCCCCCCACCCCAGGATGGCCACGCCACAATCCCTTCTCTTCCATTTTACCCTCAAGAGTTTGAGCATGCACACACATATGCTCAGTGTGAATTCCAAGTCACCAGGTTGGGAACTTGAACCACAGTCTCCCATTTGGGAGCCTAGTGCCTTAACCATTATGCCACCTGTTGGTCCCATCTCCAACCACTCTTGATAGTCTGCCAGACTAGAACTATTGAGCCAAATCCTCCATCTTCCCATTAACCAGGAAAAGAGCAGGACAGTGTCACTTCATCTCTGGGTCTTCATTTCCCTTCCACAACTGTTCACAATGTTTATTATGAACTCATTATATTTATGCAGATTGTCATATTTATTTAATCTAAATATAGACGTTTGTATATAAAGATGTTTCTTGCTATGTAGATAAAAATGAAAGTCTAAGTTACTGAAAGTAATGTCTAATCATTGTACTTCCACAAAAAAATACTAATCAACTTTTAAAAGGTTTTTAAGTAATATTATATGACATGTAAAGATATTAAACTATTAAGTGAAAAAGGGCAGTAATTTACATACACAGTAATCTACAGTAATTTACACACATACAGAAAGCCCTAACATCTGATAGGAAATCCTCATGAAATGATACTTGTAGACTTGGAAGGTTCCTGGTATTCTGTTGCAGCAGACCTGCTAAAGGTAGCTATCTACAGATGGTGGATCTATGAAAATGTAAGAGATATGGGCCAGTCAGTGGTGTTGTGGTTAAGGTGGCTAGATCTCACAGGGTCAATTGCGCAGCTCAAATCCTGGACCCACAGGCGTGAAAAACACACTGGTCACGTGTATCTGTGCCTAAAACTCTGAGAAGAGATTGCTAAGAGGCTATCCCTCGAGGGAGTTCTCTCTCTCTCTCTCATGAGTGCACATGCCCTATAACAAATTAAAAAGAAAAAACAGAGATAATTTATTTCTCCCTACTTTCCTCTATTTTCTAAATTTTGTACAATATACATATTATTTTTATGATCAGAAAAAATTTAAAATTTTAAGAAACAAGAAGCATAAAGGACCCACATACTTTCAAAAAACACCTATTCCTGGAGTGGGGCTGGGGGCATTAAACTTAAACAAATGACGGCGATAGCACTACATGCTTGACACTAAGCGACTACAGTTTTCTAGGAAAACTATATAGAAAGCAAAGACTTTTAACCTTTGGTGGGAAAAGAAATTCAGTTCCAAAAGTGCCCAGATTAAATTCGTAGCAGAATTAGAATGATCACTGGCTATACCAAAAGGCCTCTCCTTGGAGGGAAGTAGTAACTGTAGCAGCTGCTCTTCTGCTTCACAATGAATACTTTCCAGTCCAGGCTTCCCAGGCGCCAGTGCTATTAAAGCAAAGACAAGGAATGCACCCGTACCTATAGAATTCTTCTTGAATGGTGGTGGAAAGTTGCTGATTAAATTGCTCCAAGTCTATAAAACTCACAACCAATGTGTTTCTCTCAGGACGAATTAGCTCTTCTGCTAACTGCAAGTATTTAATTTCTCCATCGCTGTTCTGGAACCTGTGGACAAAAATAAGTCAGATTAAACTGAGGAAGTAGGCAGTAAAAAGAATTTGGATACCTGATAATTGAGGGTATCATTAAAAGTCCTCAGCTTTAGGGGTTAGTCAGGCCTATGTTTAGTAATTCTAGAACGTGAGGCAGTTTACTTATTTGCTCTAAGTTTTTTTATTCTTTTTTCCTTAAAAAAAAAAAAAAAAAGATTAGGACATCAACTTATCTCATAAAATTGCTATAAAGATTAAACGAGGGCCAGCAAGTGGTTAAGGGCGCTGGACTCCCACATGGTCGATCACAGTTCAAGTCCTGGACCTGGTGGCTTGCTTTCTCACTTGCCCTCTCTCTCCTCTCCTCTCTCTCTCATCAAATTGAAAAGTAAATAAATGAGTGAAATAAATAAAGTAATTCTTAAAAAAAGATTAAATGAGAGCACACTTGTAAAGTCATCTGCAAAATATAAGAAATACTGGAAATATAAAAAAATAGGGAATATAGGAAAATAGGGTCTTTAGATTCTAAACTAAATTTCTTGATTTAACATTGTCCAGCTGATAAATACTATTTTTATTTGTTGTTATTATATAATATTGGATAATGACAAATCAAGAAATTCAGGTTAAAACTTAAAGACTCAATTTCCACACAGAATTTGATAACTGACATGACTTAAAAGAATCAGAATAAAAATAAGCATACACAGAAATGAGATGTTTTATTGTCCAAGACCTCAGGAAAACAGAAACACAAATGAGGTAGTTAAGATGCTGGATTTCTACATGGCTGACCCTGGTTGAAGTCCTAGACCAGTGGCTTAAAAATCACACCAGGCACATGTGCACGCCCCCAATCCAGAAAGAATGGAGAAGGAACTGCAGTGTGGCCATCTCCCCCACACCCGGGAGGTGATTTCTCACTTTCCCTCTGTCTCTCTCTGGTGAATACACTTGCCCTATGGCAAAACCTAAAAAAAAAAGAAAAGAAAAACAAAATAAACTAAGTTTTATTTTTTCTTCAAAAGGCCAAGCAGAATATCATACAAACAAATTTACTTTCTGTTCTTTTAACATATGTGGATTAGTTCTGACATAAAATCAATTCCTCTTTCTAATGTAGCATGTTCTGACTCTTCTGAATATTTATTAAATAACATCAATGTGCAAAGCACTATGCCAGAGATATCTCAAGCTGCAAACAGTAGTGTTTCACCCCTAGCATTGACATTCTCACAGGAGACAGTTAAGAGAGGCAAGAAAGATGCTTCTACTAGTGAGAAGTACAAAAAAATGCACTAGGGCAATCAACTAATTATGACTATAAGAATGTGTGGAAAAAATGCACACACACAAAACGTGGCATTGGAATTCAGCTTTGAAAGACATCGTAAACAGGTGGTAGGGAGACTGGGTACAGATGTTTCCAAGCGTGTGGCAAAGTCAAGAAAGACTGGGGATGACTCTGAGACAGGTTTTGAAAGACGAAACTGGAAAGAATGAAGAATTTGCCTTATCCCCTACATAATGGCAAACCAAAGTTGGTTTTGTGAAAAGGAGTTAACTTAAAAAACTGGGACCAGCAGTTGACATAATGGCTATGTTGCTGGACTCTCATATAGTAGACCGCAGTTCAAATCTCGGACCCGGTGGCTTAAGCTGGGCGTGTATGCGTGTGTGTCCAAGATCCGGAGAGGAGAAGGGATTGTGGCACAGCCATCCCCCCTGGGAGGTGCTTTCTGTCTTTCTGGCGAGTTCATGCGCCCTATAGCAAAAACCTCCCCCCAAAAAAACAAAACAAAAAACACAAGACCAGCACTTGGCATAATGGCTATGTTGCTGGACTCCCATGTAATTGACTGTGGTTGAGTCTTGGACCTGGTGGCTTAAACTCACACCAGGTGTGCGTGCGCGTGCCCAAGATCCCAAGAGGAGAATGGGATGCGGAGTGGCCACCCCCCTGGAGGGTGACTCCTCTGTCTTTCTGGCAAGGATATGCACCCTAAAGCAAAAACCTCTCCATAAAAAACAACAAAGTACAGAGACTATTTGTCTTGTTATCCCCAGGTTTGGCTGCACAGAAAAATGAAAACCCTTAAAGTTATTTAGTTAAATAAAATAGTTTTTTTTTTTTTTTAAAAAAATTTTTTTTTTTTTTTAGAAAAAAGTGTATAGTGTCACAAAGGTTAATGTCTTTGGCTGGGTTTTGAAGGATAAGTAGCTGCCAGACAGAAAATGATATTGACAAAGGTAGGGGAAGAGAAATTATGGTTTCAAGGACAGCAGAATTTCCTAAGATAGCAAGCAGTGTTATTCACAGTAGCCAAAAGATGGAACCAGCCCAAGTATCCACCCACAATGGGTAGATAAGCACAATGTGGTATTATCAACACAGTACAATGTAAATTTTTTTCAGCCTTAAAAAGAACATCCTGTCACATGCCAAACACAGATGAGCCTTGGCGCATTTTGTTGATCGAAATAAGCAGACAGAAAAAAACAGATACTGTTACCATTCTGTTTACAGTAAGATACCTAGGCTAGAATAGTGAAATTCAGTGACAGAGTAGAACAGGGGTCGTGGGGAAGGATGAGGAGTTAGTGTCTAATGGGTAAGACTTTCGGTTCGGGGAGGTGAAAATTCTGGAAAATGATGGTGACGGTTGCACATAGTGAATGCGCTCAACGTCACTGAACTATGTACTCAAAAAGGGTTTCAAACGTGTACGGGTTTTCAAACATGTAAATTATGTTACATGTATTTTTCAAAAGAAGAATCTCATTAAAACATTCCCAAGTGTTTGCGCTTCACCCTAGAGGCAGCACAGCGCAAGCTCTCGGCCAACCAGTGGTACACGTGCACTAAGAAAACAAGCAACACTGGGGGTGGGTGGGGGGTGCGGGCCAAGGAGTAGGGTTAGGAGGCAAAGGAAAATAAGGCGGGACGTGGGGGGGGGGAAGGAAAGAAAGAAGGTGTGGGTGGAGCAGGAGGAAGGAATTCTGAACAAGAGGTGTTTCAGGTCCTTTTAAACAGGGCACAACTACCAAACCACAAGACTCACGCTGAAACTTCCAACAAAAAAGGCGCCAATAATTGCCCGAGCCCTGGCTGCTGGAGCTCTGGCTCTGCAGGGCTCTGCGGGACCCAGGGCGGAGTCGGTCTCCCACTCGGCTCGCCGAACCGGGGGCCCCACCGAACAGGTCACCCGGGCTGTGCAAATACTTGGCTCCCAGAGTGCAGAGCGCTGGGCCACGGGCAAAGCGCTGTGCGGGGGCGCCGGGTACCGTGAGGGCTCGAGATGGATTTTCCCCGCGCAAACCAGCCCATGGCGCCTGGCCAGGAGCCTAGAGCGCTGCTGGCAGCTGTTTCCGGGCGCGCACCCATCGGTTCCTGACCCTGCGCGGGCCACAGATCCCATCCGGGTTCCGCGGGCTCGGGAGCCGGGGGAGGCCCCGCGCGGCC